CTGTACTGATGAGGAGATACTCAATACCTTCCACACCAAGACACTGAACCACTTTACTAACAGACTGTACTGATGAGGACATACTGAATATCTATAACAAGAGACAACGGACAGCTCAAGTACCACACTGTATGGAAACCTGATTAAGAGACACTGAGACAATTACAGATTTAATAACATCATAGTTCATGGCACAATGTACAAAGATAACAATGTGCAAAAAATCCAGATGAGAAAAAAATGCAAAATGTTTGCATCCTGTTACTTTACGCCTTTATTGTACAACGTTTATTGCTCAAGAGTTGCAATTTACGATGGCAGATAATGGGAACAGTGGTACAAACACTCTCCTCTCTCAGCATCACAACAGAAAGCTGTCTTTGGCAGGCTGACTGTCCAACATGACATCACCGTGCTGACATTTCGCAGCGAGACAGAAAAACAGGAACAATAGAAAGAGGAAAGTCCCTAACAGCAATGAGCTCATCCTCGCTCGGCCCACCCCCCCCCCTCCTCTGTTACCACGGTGACGAGGGCAGGAGTGGAGTCAGAGTTCTGGACACTGCCCAGACAGAGGCCTGCAAGTCTTAACAAAACCAATCCACCATAACGCCTCCAGTCTCGCTTGGTCACCAACCCAGACACACAACCCACCCGCCTCAGTTTGGACTTCTTCCTAGTTTCTACCACTTAAGGAGCTTTTAACCTGTAAATCTCCTCTATTTATGTGAAGGGGATGCAGAGGTAAGTATCACACATGTGGAATGGGCTTCTTATCTGTCAGCCTGCGATTTTCCGGAACCTTCTCAGATACACCAGTTGCGGTTTAGTCATGGAACAAGTTTTTTTCCTCTGCTATCTAATGACAGGCATGATCGGATGAGAGCCACAGAAACAAAACACAAAATGAATAATGAATAATGGACATCTAAAAATGTATATAACGAGGCGAAAAGCTGAAAGGAAGGAGCATTCCCGAAACTGCTTTTGTTTCTGTTTCTATGTCTTCCATGTCCAAATGTCAAATAACTGACGAGCACGATATTCAGACACGCACAAGAACACGGTACCATAGGAGACACGGACAAACCGACCCGGGTAACACTCGCTGACCTTTATCGCTTTAAGGGAGCCGCTGAAGAGCATGTTGTGCGAGGACACCAGCGTGCACACCGGGTTGTCGTGAGCCCGGATAGTGTTCACTTTCTGTAGCGTCTGGATATCCCAAACCTGGACACAGACAGACAGACAGAAAGAGACACATCAGGACGGCACACACAGAAGATGAGAGGGAGCCTTGAAGATCTTTAGCAGCTGCCCAGGTAGACACCGCTGTTCAGATCACTTACAATGATCGTGCAGTCTGCCGAACCGCTGTACAGCTTGTTCCTGCATTTAAAAAAAAAAAGAGAGATGCAAACCATCAGCAACCTTGTAAGATCAACTGAATGCATTTAAAGCCATTGCAACACAACTCCAGAAAACTCTTTAAAACACCAAGGAAACTGCTCACCCCTGAATGCACAGCGCCAACACAATGCCATCGTGCCCCTCCAACGTCTTCTGGCACTTGTACGTGGTGCAGGTGTCCCAGACCTGGGGAAAGAGACAGAGCAGCAGTGAGGGGAGAGGCAAGGAAACAGAGTAGATGCAGATCCAGCAGATGTTTAGGAACACAAGTGAGAGATAGCCCAAGTGAGAGATAATACAGAGAGGGGATTATAAAGAGCTTAAAAGCAAGGAAGAGCCCAGACAGATGGACAAAGAAGCATGCCAAACACAAAGCCAGCAGAGCTTGAAGGTGGACAAATGGGGAGAATGAGGGACAGGAAGGAGTTAGACCAGATAACCGAACGAACGGCTGCAAAGCAAAGGTAAGGAATGAGTTGAACCTTGATGGTCTTGTCAGAGGAGCCGCTGAAGAGCAGGTCTCCAGTGGAGTAGACACACAGGCACCATACGGGCCCCTGGTGGCCCACGAAGGTGCCCTTGCACTTGAATATCTGCTGGGGGTCGTAGGCTGCAACACAGGCAGACACGCACAGGGGAAATCAGAACCAGTCTACACTTATCCTTGGCAAAATGTTAAAAGCTGGTTGGATTGCGCCCACAAGAAAATCAGACTGTGGACTCGCTAGGAGGTCACAGGCAAGTGGGAAGCCCGCGCGGCACACGAGGCAGAGACACTCACAGCCCAGGATCCCCATGTTGAGTCTAGCGTTGATATGTGACAGCTCGTCCTACAACACAAATGAGAGAGATGACGGTTACCAAAAGATTATAACGGGCCGACAGCACACTGGTAGCGCCGACGGTGCCTATTTACAGTAACAAACAGCTCCAGCTGTACAACACTGGACAACTGAGCTTTACTCAGAAGGGACGCGGAGCTTAAAAATTAATTAAAAAAACAGTCTGGAATCATCAGTGCTTGCTTTCCAGACTCTGGGCGTTTTAAACGGAGGACCAGAAGTATAAATGAAATCGGGACGGCAGGGGGCATGGCCTTATTTATTACTGCTGCACTGTTTTCTGGCCAGTGGTTCCTAACAGCAGGGAGATGCACACAAAGCGCTGAGCAAAAGGGCTTACGTTAAGCATGGAGGCGTCTCGGCGGAACTCCATCAGGTCCTCGCTCAGCTTGCTCTGGTTCTCATCCAGAACATCTGCAAGACGAGCACAGCGTCAGCCACGGGGCCCCCAGAGATCGCTACGACAGCAGCCACACTGGTAATGCTGATCATACTACTGTGGGGAACTCAGCCCTGACTTGGTGGCCTCTGCAGATCGTATTTACTACAACACGGAGAGTACATTTTTAAAAAGCTGGCTTTGCTCCAAATCCGTTTGAAACTGGAAACGTGCTTCCTCTGAACCAAAACCGGCTGCAGGAAATGTCCCAGTTCGGGCCGCCGCCCGCTGCCCCGTCTCTCACCGAACTTCAGCTCCAGGTTCTTCTCCAGCTGGTCCAGCTTCTCGGAGAGCTTGCCCAGCATGGAGCGCAAGAAGGCGATGTCCTGGTCCTTCTGGGCCAGCGCCACCTGCATCTCGTGGAAGCGGTCGTCGGTCTGCTGCAGGAACTCCTTCAGGCCCTCGAACTTGCACACCTCCAGGTGCGCCTCGTACGTGTCCTGGTTCCCGATGAAGGTGCACCTGGGGCAGCGGAGGAGATCAGAGGCGAGGCTCAGGAAGAATCCGCCCTCCCAGAATGCACCCTGTTGGGCGGGCCCGCACTGAATTGTGGGAACGTCAGTCCTGAACACACCACCTGCACAGTGACTTCCATCCCAGCCCTGGGGAGCCAATTACTGCCCTGTTTTGGGTTTTTTTTTTGGTGCTTTTTGTCCCCTCCCCCACCCACATCTCCTCAGACGTGCACAATGAGCAGCCAGTTCAGATCACAAAACCTTTCAGCGCTTTCAATGCAACAAAAAGCAAAAGACGAACACCCCTTGTCCTACTTTCGTCTCCCCTTACGAAGTACAGAAGTAAAGGCGTAAGGAAGATGAATCTGTCACACAAATGCACGCCAACTAACCCAAGAGCACTGATGAAGATGCCTGCCCTATAGAGACTGCATCATTCTACAAATACACTACTGTCCAAGAAGTCTCACAGTAACACAGCTCTTGGAATATGGAAGTATAGAAGTGGCACAGAAGAAAAGAAAAAAGCATCACATCCCAGGGTTACAAACCCACCACAATCCCACGTCAGCTCAGGGAGGATTGCTCAAGTTGCACCACGTTGCTGACCGAAAGCAGCTCGGGGGTAGGCCGTACCTACCCATATTTGGAGTGGGGGCACTTGATGTGTTCACACTCCTTCAGGTGGGCCTCCAGGTTCATGGTGAGCAGAGGGGGACAGCTGGGGTTGTTGGGGCACCGCACTGGGCGATAGTCACAGCTCCCCTCGTGGTCCCTAAGGAAAACCAGAGCAGAATCGTCCAGCCCCCTTTCTCTCGATCACTGTCTGCCTCGTTCCCTCCCCCCACTGTCCCTCAGGTGTGACCAACATCATACCAGGCTGGCCCACCCTGAAATGCTCTGAACACAAAAATCCACAGCGCTGCCAGAGTCACGTTTCAGTCAGATATTGGAACATCTGGTCACTCCGGGACGCGCTGATTTCAGTCAACCGCAACACCCCCCCTGCCAACCGGATGAGAACGAGAGTGTGCCGAGAGGAGAGAGAGAGCGAGAGAGAGAGAGAGCCAGGTGACTCACTTCCTGGCGCTGAGTTTGATGGTGAAGGGGCAGCCCAGGGGATCCACCTCAAAGGCACCCGGTTTGCCAGCGGCAGCGGGACGGCACCCGTATTTGCAGTGGACGAAGAGCTCGCCGATCTGCTCCGCCACGGCGATGTTATTCACCACCACGGTCAGCTTGGCAGTGTCCACAGGGCACTTCTCTGCAGCCACATCAACAACAAGCAAAAACAGCTGCTCACTTTCAGTGTCCCCTCCCCCCCAGGACGCTGCTCTTTTGGAACCTAAAGGAGTGTGCGCCTTCTTCTGAAACAGCGCGGCGAGAGGCAGCACCGTGGGAAATGTTGCATGGAGAGCAAGAGAACGGGCAGACAAGACTCTGTCTCCTTAGGCTAGAACTTTCACTGCCCTGCAGAAGACATGAGCTCTGCAAAACAATGGCATGCTCCTCTGGGCTTTGGAGAAAAAGCGTACCGCCCCATGAAGTTGAACTTAAACAAAAAAAAGCTTTCTTCTTCTCAGGAAGAGAGATCTGCTTCTCTTTGAACTGTCTCTTTACCTCTGGACCTCCTCTCAGTAAGGGCCAGTCCACCTGTGCTCAGAAAAGGGGCAGGACTTGTTCCTTTTGTGCAAAGTGGACACAAGCCGATTGAGCAGTAAAACGAGACTCACATATACACACACATACCTGAGGTCAAGGCGCATCGTCTGCAGAAGGTGTGCTGTGGAAGAGAGAGAGTGATCAGTCGAGGCAGGGCAAGTGGAACTGCACTGCTGTGGGTGTGAGAGTGTCAAGGTGCACGAAGCTGGCCGTCGGGGCGGGTGTGCAGAAGGTGACAACTGCGACCAGTCGCTGCTCAGAACTGCACTCCCTGCTTCCTTCCTGCTGCGCCGCTTTTCAAAGAACAGGCCAGAAAAATACAGCTGCCGGATTTGACTTGCAGTATCTCACCTCGACACATAACCTGAACCTTCACAGACTATCGTGTCCCAAAAGCGTTTTTACTCACATCAAATGAACGATCATTTGCACGAGTCTTTAGGTGTCCTTTTGATACGATCCATCAAGAAAAGAGATCTAGTGATTGTAAAAAAAGAAAACTGCATCTCTTCCATTTCCAAAAGCACTTTACTGAGGGTGCTCCAGGAAAAATGCCCTGCTGTGTAGGTGGGTGCAAGTGTGAATCATTTAGGGTTCTGGGAATATGGAACAAGTTCTCAAGCCATGCTGTTGATGTCAAAGCCCTTATTTCAAGAGATATCGACTTTTGAGAAACGGCTGGATGAGATTCTTAAATCAACTTCCAAAGGGGCTAGATGAGCTGAAAAACCTGCTCTTGTACGTGACCTTTCTTATTTCCGAAACTACAAAAATCGTGCAATCGCAGCTCCAGAATTCGCAGTGTCATTCATGTGCAAACATAGCATTACAAGCTATGTGAAAAGGCTGCATAGATGCACAGCGCAAGAAGACAATCAGCTGATCGGCGCCAAAACCGTAACGATCTCGAACCATCAGAGTCAACTTCAACCTCATGGGCTGGGAGACGGTTCTAGTCTCCCTACACCTCTGTGTAATCAAGGGCCTCCTGTTTCTGATCCTGAGGGAACCTTAAGGTAAGACGTTCAGACTTAAGAACTCTTGGAAAAGCCAGCCCAAGCCGAGTTGGTCAGTGCTTTTTCCAGATTCTGAATATTCAACCGCCTTTTTCAGACTTAAAAGAATCAGGTTCCCTTAGTCCAGGGGTGGGGGCGACCAAAATAAAAAGCCATTTTTGATTTTTAATCTGGCAGCAAATGTGGCATTTCAAGAGCCTCGATACGTGTGCATATGAGAGGGCCCGTAATACACAATGTCCAAGCGGACATTTTGCAACCCCATTTTGTGACCTGCAGACGCGCAATAATTTGTAATGCAATATGTTTACTGTGCAGGATGTTCAGACTCTCTAATCTATTTCTTCACACTTCGTTTGTGTGTGTCACTATCTTCCTGATTGTCTCACTTCTTAACCCTCTCTCTCTCGCTGGAGGATGTTAGAGGTCATCAGCTTCGGCCTGTCAAATACAACATGCCCATAGAGAGCTTTTCCCATTCTCCACTGCTGGGAACTCATACGAAATAAATGAGACATCCAATTATTTTCAGCGTCTTTAGTATACTAATAAAAAGTGTGCAACCTATCAAAAGTCTCAAATACACCGCAACTGTGAGCTCAAATCAACGAGTTTCAAAATCTTAAGTAACGTAATGAGTTTTCGTATTATTAGTAGTTGAATACAACTACGGTGTTAACGTGGGTTTGCATCAATTAAATATCTAGTACTTTCAACACCTTGAATAAACTTTTTATGAATATTCTGCCTTTCTGTTTTCTACCGTGATATTTGTAGGGTGAGTTCTGCAAACTAGGGTGTTTTTTTGAGAAGTCCTCCTGAATTTGGATTTATTTTTTTTTGCCGCTGGGAGATTTTTATGCGGACACAAAGGGTGCCCACGAGAACCTGATTTCAACACAGTCCGCGGTCCAGCTGGAAATTGTCTATTTTCATCTTTTCCCACTTTTTCCCCAGCCACTCCAACTGCACTTCAACAACGCCGATTGTACATGGGATTTTATTTCAATTTTTTTGCTTAAAGTGTGTTTTGTCCACGTTGTGACATACAGGACATGGGATTCCTGCTGAGGTCTACACAACCTGCTTCTGGACGATGTGTGAATGCGACAAGTTTTCTCCCTTCACCAGTCTCAGCAACGTTCTTTGAACTGACCCCTGCCTATCTGAAGGAACTGCCACTAATAGCTTATTAAACAGCCTACTTTTAACATTGGATTTCCATAGGGATTTTATTATTTCTTGGTCAAAAGTCTTCTGAAAGACCATAAGCATCACCTGCCCTAAAACGAAACTCCAGGCTTCGGCAGCTGTATCAGTGGCAGCGGGACACGCACATAGGGAGGGGGGTTCCTCGGGTGCAGCCGGATCAGGACCGGGGGGCAGGAATGAGAGGGGGAGGGAAGAGAAGCACAGGTCCCCTGACTCACCCCACACGTCGTGATCACGGGGTCTTTGAACACACTGCAGCACAGCTGACAGCACAGCTTCACCGAGGGCTGCTCTGCAAACACCTGGGGCTCCTGGGAAACAGAAGGGCATGATGGGCCAGACGGCAAACCAGGATCAACAACAAGTCCACAGCTCTACTGCAACAACACTAAAGAGACCACAGAGTAACGGAACAACAGGAACTATGAGGCCAGAATTGGCTTACGCTCTTTCTTTTAAACAAATAAGAGAACTGCTGCACACTGGTGGTGGTGGAGGGGAGGAGTCCCCATTACCTCTGAAGCTCTGTGAAAGGCGCTATATACGCGCAAGGATGATGCGTTTATGATTTATTTATACCGTCAAATGGGGAGAAACTCTAAACGCAATGCTAGATAGGTAGGATTAGTGCCTGGCCGGAGCTCAGACACAGGTCTGCTCACCGTGTCCTCCTCCTCCTCGTGCAGGGAGAAGGTGGAGCGCAGGGACATGGTGGACTCGGAGTGCAGCGAGCGCACGGAGATCGCCGAGTCCGAGCGGCGCGGCGTGCTGATGGGTGGCTGTGGGCGAGAAGAGGTGGAGGGGGGTGGGGAAGAGAGGGGGAGCAGGGTGAGAACTGACGAGAGAGAGAGACGGTTTCATTTTTCCAAGCCTGGCTGGTTTCGTCCTCTGCTGCTCGCGTTCTCCTGCAGCGGTGCAGAAAAACGAAAAACACCCAGTCCAGAAAACGCATCGGCTGTAGAGGTAGTTTTTTTTTTAAATTTGACTGCTCGTCGCAGGCTAAGCAGATGGAGCGAACTGGCTCTTGCATGGCCTGCCCTGGCACGGTCTCTGCAGTCCCTCACAGTGGGACAGACGGGATGGACAGGCCCCGGAGTGCAAAGCCCGGTGCACAGCCATGTCTCAGCCCACGTGGGGGCTGTGAGAAGCTCGACAAGTTTTCTTTTCCCTAAGAGAGCTCCATTTTGAAATCCCCTCGGCTTTTAAACGTCGGAGCCTTCAGAAGAAGAGGAAAAAGCCGAGATCCCATTATGTCAATAACGCGGCTACAGCGACAGCGTTCTCTGCTCTTAATCAGTTTCCACGAGCTACTTCCTCCATTTTGCATTATTCCAGAACAGTAACACAACACTGGAGGGTGTAAAATCTATTTTGGGATGGGAAAAACTATAGACATTCCAGACATGATTTTCTCCAAAAGCACTAAACTGATTATTCTGACAATCCCGGCCTGTGCTTTCATTTTAAAAGAGAACACGATTTCTTGTCATCACACTGATACGTCTTATACCTGTTAATGATACCTTCCACAAGATGACCAATATACTCATAATCGTCCAATGTCCAATCCCTTCCAGTTTTACAGACTGCGACAAAGTGGACATTTGTTTCCCCTTGGCACCAAAATGTAACTGAAACCGTCCGTTTCCTCTTGGTAAAGCTCATTTTCTAAATTCACGTCCCTTTGAAATCGCTGTACAGTACGACACACACAGAATCAGAGCCATAGGACTCCAGGAATACACCACAAAACCCGCCAGCAAGTGCAGAGTTTCATGGGGGACATGCATCCTAAAATAAGCACAGCAGTCGTGTCTGCTTTTCATTTGCAAAAGCATAATGCACACTCGCAGAAGAGCCGAGAAAAGGCAAAGGGGGAGTTTTCCCAAATCACGTTAACAGGCGTTTCACTGGAAGTGCCCAGTTTCAACACAACCACGCCGAATCCCCCTTCTCTGTTTAACCAATTCAATTTTTTTTTTAAAAAACCTGCGCAGCTCTGCACAAGCGAGAGCTGGCCCGATCCCCATCGCCGCTGCGCTGAAGCCATCAGGAAGAGCCGCTTACTTACAGGATCTTAAACTCACTCCCCGGCTTCGCCTTGCCACACACTTTGGCCTCCTTTCTGGCTCAAACGTAGAATTTAGAGCATCTCAGAGGCGCGTCCAGTCCTTCTGCTGTGCACCAGCTCTGCTCAGCTGTGTCTCTGCACAACAGCAGGGCCACTTGTTGTCCCAGCACTGCTCATTCCCAGTGCCAATTTCACTCCAGAAACCGGGGAGGGGGGCGCGGGGGGGGGACACTTCCTGCTATTCATTTAGAAGCGAGTGCTGCCGCACAGTTTCCTGTGCTGGAAAGGGACGGGCGAGGGGGGGGGTGGGGGAGCTCACCAGTACAGCAATCAAGGAACAGCACGGAGAAACGCTAACTGATATATGGAGAGCCGGGGGATTTGCTGGGAAGAGCTCGCTGCACATGCAGAGCAGCCCAGCCAGGTCTCGGCGAGATCCGAGGAAGCACAGGCACGCCAATTGTGATTCATCAGCAGAACGGGGAGCAACCGACGGAAACATGCAAGAAGACAGCCAGCAACGCACAGACCGGCAGACACAGCGCCGTGACATGTGGTGGCGGAGTGGCGTTTCAACTGCACGCGAATGAAGAAGACACCTACATCTCCGAGGCGGCTGTCGGTATCCCCTACACGGACGCTACGTTCTCCGGCATTATTGTCGGAGCGTCCTACTATAACCTGGCCCTTAGAAGAAAGCACTGTGGCAAATCTGTCCAGGACGTCTAGCTTAACACGCGTTCGGCTGGTGAGCGAGGCTGATCGGTTTCAGTGTGTCTTTGTTGCCCTGCAAACTGGTCTCAACGGCCTTTTGCTGTGCTCCGATACAAGCGTGCCACGGACTGCACTTGTACAATACAGGAGGCAAGATGTTTCACATGTCACACTGGCGAGTTTCTCTCTGCAATGGACCTGGATGGTAGCACTCCGCCTTCGAACAGACCCAAGAGGATTAAGAAAATGATCACACGTCATGCGGGCCCTGTGCCAATCCGATTCCACCCAACGAGCTTTACTTGGCGATACCGATGAGAGCGGCCAAAGCAGAGCCACTAAGTGCCGCGCGCCGCAATGCCCCACCACCAGGGGGCTCTCCGGCACTGCCGTACTGGGGTCACGCCCCCTGGGGTAGCCCCTGCAGGTGCAGACGGAGGTGGCGGGGGCACTGACCATGCCGTCGTCCTCGTCCCGGGGGGAGTAGGTCATGCTGCTGGAGGAGGAGGGAGTCCGCCGATGTTGCTTGTAATTGGTGGATCCTTCAGCTGGGAAAGCACACACAAACAGATGGCAGAATCAAGAGAGGTGCAGCCACCCGGCGGTCCAGAAGAGGCACAGAAAGCCTTTCCAGCGATCTGAGGTCGTATAAAACAAAAAGCAAATGATCGAGCGCAGGGCCCTCAACCTGTAGGCCTCTGGGCTCCTGGACTGTGAGGCTCTGCTACTGATGATCAGCTCCAGAAAGACACACTGATCGACAGTCCATTCAGGACAATGTCAAGCGACTGTGAGGGCACCCGGATAAAAAGGCAGGATATATCCACGACCTGGCCCGTAGGGACTACAGAACAGACCGTAACCAGCACAAAAAAAAAAAAGACTCAGATCAAACATAATCCTCTTCAAACGTCATATTTTTACAAAAATATTCTGAATAATGTTGCCAGTGCACCCATCAGAAGAGCTCCTTGCGCCAGCCCAGTGGAAACACTATCAAGCGACAGGTCTGGAGTCTGCTGGTGGGTTAGAATTGAGGGAATTCAGGCCCTGTCTCGAAATTAAAGACTGCAGCAATAAATGCAGCATGAGGCAAGCGCACAGAGAATCAGACTAACCTTTCGTAATAGTGGTGACTGTTGCATATGCAGGTCCAAAGGTGGTCTCCATCCTAGTCTGCTATAAAGAGAAAAAAAAAAAAGGTTTGATGCTGCTGTTGCGTCAGGCAGTGAGGAAGATGAATCCCTTAGAGACCACATGGCACCACAGTGCACATGTCCCTCCTGCTTGCAAACAGGAAGATCTGCAGATGTGCCCGGAAATCTTCAAATATTTAACTGCCCAAGACTTAAATGTCTCCCAATCTACTTTCAAAGAATTACTGCTGTAACAATATGTAATATGTGTCCAAAAAACAGTGAAATACATCAGCTTCAAAGGTGGTATTCATTTATTGCTGAATTATCCTAAAATCGACTATCCTAAAATAGGTTAGACAAAAAAACGCCAGAGGATACCTTTGTTTTAAGTCTGCTCTTAAATTCGGCCGCTGTCCCCCTCCCCAGCCCTGGCAGAAGGCCCTCCTTACCGTGTTTGCAGTGTCGGCAGGTGGGACACTGGCCACGACTGCTGCAGCACCTCCAGAAAAACGGTTGTAGCGCAGAGTCTTACTGGAGCTCATAGTCCAGCACAGCCTCCCTGGACCTGACAGTTGCACCCTGAGAGGCAAAAAAAACCACACTGTCAGCCCATCAGCGATCTTGTCTCCCCTTTCGTTTGTCACTGTAGCCCGAGATTGGCTACCGCACTCAGG